TACCGCGGGAGTGTGCGATTCTCCAAGCGCGCAAGCACGTCTCCTGCACGGGCCCCCGCCGCTGGGCGCGGGCGGCCTGGGCGCGCGGGGAGAACGCGGCGAACTTCTCGCAGTTTAGGGCGCCCGTGATGTAGCCGGTGATCCGCGCAATCCAGTTAGATTGCTCCTCCGCGGACTAAGCGTAATTTGACGATGGCGGCCGCGACGCCGCCCGACCTTCTGCGCGCGGCGCAAGGCGCCCCGTGCGCGTCGGGTTTTCTGACGCGGTCGCCCATCTCCTCCGGCTCGGCTGCGCTGGACAAGCCCCGGGCGCGAGCTCCAGCGACGTTGGCGTTTCATCGGCCAGCGCGCCCACTATCGCAGCCCAGCCGCCACCTTTCTGCCTGCGCCGGACAGGAGGCAAGAATTCGCCCGTGCGTCGACGCCCTGGAGCGTCGCCGCTGGCCGAGCTCAGCTCGGCCAGCGGCCCGAGCTGGTCGACGTGGGCGAGGCGCTAGTTGCCGCGGGCCTCCTGCGCGCGAGGGGGCGCCGCTGCGCGCGGCGGGGGTCAGCCGCGGACGCCGAGCACCGTGCGCGGAAATGCGGGGCGCTGCCTTGAAGACAGTCCTGCTTCGCCCCGACCAAACAGAAGTCGAGATCGAGCGGCGCGCGGCGACGTAAATGCTGAACCGCAGCGCGATATCTAGCACAGCTGTGTCGAGCTCGATGGCTGACCTCGCGTGGCACGCGGAGGCTTCGGCGCGCCGCCGAGGCAGGAATTTCAAAGTGGAGCTACAACTTATCCAATCGCCCACGGCGCCCCGCGCGGCTGGGAACGCGACCGCGCGCGCCCGGGAAACTGAGGGGCGCGCCCCATCCGTTGGCGATGGTCGATGGTTTCGGAGCGCGCGAAAGCCAGCAATGACAGGGCCACCAGCCGCGCGAATTTGAAGCCTAACCACCGCATGGAAGACACCCCCACGAAACGTTGAAAGCTAGCGATAGCGCCATGAACTCGCGCGCTAGCATGTGCCTCGGCATCTGGAACCGCCCTTGTTCGCTGCAAGCTGTTGGGCGTAGCTCGCCGCAGCGATGCTGCCGCCGCCCAAGAGCATGGGCCCCGCGGCGGACTGCGCCTGCGGGCCAATCCAGCGGGAGAGATCGCCCACAGCGGGGCCAACTGCAAGACCTGGAGACGTGAGCTTGCCCGCGATCTGCATCGCAGCGAAGAGCGAGACTAACCGAGATGGGCGCCCCAGACGATCGGGGCTACGCCCAAGGGAAATCACGGGCACCGGAACAACGGGGAAATCATACGTGTGCGGATCTGTAGTTCCCGCGTCGCCAACCCTCATGGCGCCTGCAATGCCGGATCGCAAGTCGCCGCCGTGCTAGCGGCGAAGGGCCCGCAGGAACGACGCAGCAACCATCGCATGGGGCGACCCACTCATATAAAACAAGCTGAACGATCCTCGAATCAATCCACCAGACATGCCGGGGCGCGCAATCAACCGCGACCGAGGCTTCGAGGCGCGCGGGGCACCTGGTCAAAAACTTTCAAAGGGCGAGCTGGGCATTCGGCATCGCCGAGGCAACCGCCAGCGTAAACCGGCGCGCCTGACCTGGAACTGCGGCGCAGAGGTCGGGCACCGGCAACGCCTGCAAGACAGCGCGCGGGGTGGGTGAATCGGAGTGGCCCCTGCTCAGCGGGGCCGACGTCGCGCCCGGGGAGCTGCCGAGGCCCGCGCGGGCACGTCTTGGCTAAAGCGGGTCCTAATCGTAGGAAGCCGCCCCATGCACGCGTTCCGCGGCCCGAATGCCCGCGCGGACTGCGGCGCGCGAGCAAGCAATGGGCGCGCCGTCCCGTTACTCTGCCCCCTCTGGTGGCCCGACCTGCGCATTGCCATTGGGCTCCGCGGAAGGTGCCGGCCACTTGCGGCCCGCCCCGCAGCGCCGCTGGGAACTTCGCGCGCGCGGCGACGCTGCCCGCGCAGCGTAAGCGAGGGCGCCCAACAAGGCAGGCTGGGCGGCGCGCGCAGGTCGCAGCGCGCGGCAGTAGTCGCTGGGGGGGAAGGGCCGCCCCGCCCAAGTCCACTGCGCGAGTGAGCTCGCCTGCGCGCGACTGGGCCTGAGATGTCGATGGGCTTCTTCTCGGAAGCGGGCTCCCAGAGTCGAGTCTGGGCGTCGTTCGTCGTCGACGAGTCTGCTCATCTGGCGAGGATGAGTGGGCCAGATCGAAGCCAGCCGATCCAGAGTTCGACGTCGGCGCTGAGTCGCCGTCAAGTGGCGTGTGTGTGCGTGTGTGTGTGTGTGGGTGGGTGGGGGCGGTGGTGGGCGGGGTGGGTGGGTGGGTGGGGTGGGGTGGGGTGGGGTGGGGGGGTAGATGAGCGCGCCGCTCGAGTTGCCGTCGAGCGAATTCCCCGATCCGAGCGCGCGACGCATCGGACCGCCGCTGCAATGGCGGCGCGCGCAAGAGCCGATCGCGACGAGAGGTTCCGCCGCGGAGATTTCCGCCAGTTCGGCATCCCATCCACAGCTTCAATGCAAACGGCCAGCCGTCGCGGTAAAGAGCGCGTGCAAACGCCCGCGCAATGACAAATTGCCTTCAAGGCACCCCGAGAACAAGTCAAAACCAAAGACCCCTCGCGTCGACGACAAATTCCGTGGCAGCGATTTGCATGGCCCCACGCGGATTGGAGGCGACGTCGACGCGTGGCCCAGCTGCCCAACAACTTTGCGTAACGCGTTCGGGACTGCGGCCGGTTCGATGTTCATTTGTTTGTTGGTTTGTTTGTTTTTTCTGTTTCCACTCTTCGGCCTTCTCCTTCGTTAGCAGCTGGCTGGACTTATCTCTGTCCCCTTGGACTCAACTGCTGGCACTTTGCCCTGCTGCAATCGATTGAGAGCCCGCTGACCATGCGCTGTAGGCTGGCGCTCAGAACGCTTTAATAAATTCCTCGTACCTTTTCTGCGCGATGTTTCGTGGGGCGTTGCTGCCGCGAGCGAACCGTTTGAGCAGCTCGATGGCTTATCGCCCCATCTGCAAGAGCCCTGGGGTCGCCGGCCACTTCGGGCGTAGACGCAAGCTGGCGCAGCGCCAACCAGGCCAGCGCGTCCAGAATCTGTCCGACAATCAGATTATAAGAGAAATCCTGTCCTGGTGGGCAGACCCGCCGGACGAGATCCCGCTGAATCGCCCGCAAGATCCGGCGCCGCCCCCGAGCGTAAGCACGTTACCCGCATGTCGCCCGTGTCGCGACAAAGAGGATGGGAACAACAAAAAAAGTGCGGGCGGAGCAAAATTGAGGTCGCCGTGGATTACGAGGACCACTTTCGAATGCATATAAGCAGCCGCGGTGCGGTCACTTGGGATGTACTGACTTGGCCGAGGTCTCTGGCTTTGCCGCGGTCACGTCGTGGCAGCGCAACTCGAAGGTGGTAGGCCGTCTTCGAGCAAGCCATGGCGATGGCCAGAATATGTCTGCTCCACCTTTGCTTGCAGGCCCCTCCTAATAGATGGCGGACGGAACCTCGCCGCGGAATGCGCGTGGCTAAAGCTCACATGCATGACATTGCCGGCGAGCGCCGCCGCCGCTATGGAAGTCCAGGCGGCGAAGATACCAACGTGCTAGCCGCATTCGTGTTGTTATACAGCGTTAAAGCCCTTGACTGCGGGCAGCCAGCACGCGGACTACATATAGGGAGGCACTGTCGACAAAAGGCCCGTGACGCCGTCTCGGGCGGCGCAGCGATCGTGTTGGCGATGGCATCCATCCTGCCTCTGTTAAGGCCGCGGTCGGTAATCATTTCGGGCAGAACATGCCAGGTGAGGGTGGGGCAACCAGGGTTGGGTCCCACCCAGCCGTGGTGTAGCAACGTTGACGGTCGAAGAACCACTTTTTGGAGCTGTCCATCCCACGGGCAATTTCCCGAGTAATACTATCCTGTATCTCCATGGTGATCTGCATCCGGCTCTACGTCAAGCGCGATGTGAATTCTGGAATTGCCACAGCCAGCGGACTGGACTTCGAACGTTTCTTACATTGTCCAGGGACGAGTCGTTGAGCATCAAGGGTTGTGGTGACCCTACAGACAACAAAATCAATGGCACCCTCGGACTTGTTGGCGACCGTGATTTATTATCGCTGGCCGTGATCTCGTAGCCCGCTGCTTGGATTCCGACTCCAGCCAGCCAGCCATCCAACATATGTGTGAGAGGCTTTTGGGCAAAAAAATGAAAATACCCCCAACATATTCGATGTGGACTATTCTCGAATATTCCTCCTGTAGAGGAACAGGCCCGACTTAAGTAAAGGTGCGAAGCCTAAAGCATTTGAGGCAACGTGTTTGACGAGAGGCCCATTTGGAAGAGGAGCACCCTCCATCGGTAACGATACTGCACATGTTTCAAACACTCGGCAGACCTTGTAACAACACAAAAATGCGCCAGCAGTCCGTGTAGCCCATCAAAGCAAAACATACTAACCAACTGGGGGGCGCCTTGGCCTGAATGCCGAACGAAACTGGATCACTGATGAGGGCCTCTCCTGACCAAGACTAACACTGAAAGCGAAGAAGCGGAGCTCCAATTTTGGATTGGGTGCGACCCAGACCAAACGAAATGTCTGGAATCTCAAAAGAATCCTTAACGATCGAATGGTTTCAGAACGTACTCAAACCAACACTTTCCGCGAGAGAACCTAGAAACGCATCTCCCGATGACTTCTACCGAACATCTTGCCTCCTGGAAGAACCCCGAGAGATCTAATGAGAAATCTCGCCTGCCTGAAATCACTGCAATCTCACGAACAATCTCCTGGCAACTCTTCCGAGAAATCGCGCCCCCGGGAATGAGACCCCGCGGGCGTTGCACCGGCCCCAGCACGCGGTCCAAACGAAGGTTACCAGAAACAGCCTCGGTACACCCCACTAGCCCATCATAACCAGACTAACGCCCGTATTGACGTGCCAACTTGCCAGAACTGTGCTACGACTGGTACACGCGAAGAGAAAGATGCTGCCGTAGAACTTGTCCAAGTCGGCTTTCTCCTCCTCGGGGTTATTTATGACAGGAAGGGTCTAAGCCAGTAAGCACATCTGCAGCCGCACCAAACGGAACCCCATCGTATTCCTGAGTACGCCGCTCGTCTTCCCATTGCTTCTGTCCCTTAGCCGCCCCCCAATTCTTACTGCTTCGTCGAGGGAACAAATACAAGAACAACAGACACATCTCACCAAAATCCGCCGACCCCCACTTGCCCGGGTGATGCGGCGTGTGGGATGATTGGCTGTCCCCCTCCCCCATTCTCCCTCCCAGGTGATGGGGGGTTGTACGAGCTCCCAGGCGCCTCCCTGGCGCCTCCAAAGAGCCCCAAAAAGGCCAAAGAGAGACCAAACAGCGCGCCTAGATATTGCAAAAGGGCGTCGAGACGGCCCAAGATACTCGGCGGTGGACAAACCTCCATTTCGTAAACCTCCCTTTAGCGAAAACGGCCTAGGACCGAAACCGACGGACCTGGACCCGCAAAAATGACGGCCGCGACGCCCTTCCGCGAACCGAAAACGGCCAATTCGCTAATCGACGTGTCAGGGTAGGAGATCTATCAACCTCCGATATACCTTCGAGACGGCTCACGAGGCTCCCAAGATAGCCCAAGACTGTCCCAAAAGGGCCGCCACGAGAACCCCCAAACGCACATATTGTCCCAATGCCGTAGGGAAACGTTGTCGTTCAACACACTCACCTTGTACGACTTGAAAGCTTCCAAGACGGCCCAAGGAGCTCCCAAGGTCGTCCCAAGACAAGACGGCCCATGAGGCCCCCAAGTGGGCCTGCCTGTAAGGCCCCTGCGACGGCTCAAAGGCCGCCGTAGGCGACGGCCGAAGACAGCCCTGAGAGGGCCCCGCCCCGAGAGGGGCCGCCACACAAGGAGAATCGGAACCGACATTCCGAGCCTTTCCCCTCAAGAACCGCCCCGGAGGCACCCAAGGCGGCCCAAGAAGGCCCCAGAGAAGCCTCAGGAGGTGCCCAAAAGGGGGAACTCGCACTTCTATTTCAAGCCCTCCGCCCCAAGAGGACCCCCTGAGACCGCGAGCAGGCGCCCAACAAACCCCCAAGAGGCTCCAAGAGGCCCCCAAGAGGCCGCAAAGAAGCCCCAATAGGCCCCACAAACGCCCCCCCAAAAGGCAGAAGGCCGCACTCGCGCAGTTCGTTTCTCCTCTGGGGCTCGGCGGAATGGCGCAAGCCACTTGAATAATTACATGGTTCAAGATTTCAACCTTATGACCAGCTGCAACAGAGGGAATACTCCAATCGGCATGCCTCCAATTCCCTCCTGAACATCTTCCACTCTGCCTCTCTCCTCCTCCCCCTGTCGCCCTGCCCCCTCCTTATCCGTTTCCACCCACCTTCTCCGCACCTTCCTCGGCCTCCTCATCGAACGCCTCTTCCTCCTCCCTCTTCTTCCTCCTCCTCCTGGTCGTTCCTGGCGGGCAGCAGGGCCCCGCGCAGCAGACAGCGGCTGCCCGTCCTCGGCCTTCTGGAGCTCGTGCCGCAGCAGCTTCGTGATGTACGCGCGGTCGAAGATGCGCCTGCGGCGGTGCTCTCCGTCTGCCCACGGCCTCCCCCTCCTCATCGAACCACGGCCATGCTAGGGAGGAGGAGGAGATGGAGGAGGAGGAGGAGGAGATGGAGGAGGAGGAGGAGGAGGAGGAGGGGGAGGAGGAGGAGGAGCAGGAGGAGAGGAGGAGGGGGAGGAAGGAGGAGGAGGAGAGCATTCCCCCCTGCCTGCCAATCCTGCCCCTGACCATGCACTTGCCCCTCTCCCGCCTGCCCCACCCTCTCCCGCCGAATCTCCCGTGGCTGCGCATCGTCCTCCCCGTACTCTTCGACCCTCTCTCCCTCCCCGCCTCCAGCCTCGACCGGCATCACTTCTCGCTCACCTACTTTTCTTTCTCAGTCTCTCCTCCCTTGTTAGAGGGGACTGTTCTAGGTGGGGGAAAACATCGAGCTGGAATCAGCGGTACATCGCCGATGGATCGACACTGCGCCGCCGATAGGGGAGGGGCGCGTTCCTGGGAGGGATGGGGCATCGGGGTATCGGGCCTCTATCGGCGACGAATGGGCGATCGGGGAGCGACGCACCCCCCCCCGAGCCTATCCCCCCCGTTGACGCTGCCCCTGCTCCCTCCCTCTTGGAGTCCCAAAGCGGTGCGGTGACAGACCGCACGGTCCGTCAGCGCACGGTCCGTCAGCGCACGGTTTTGGGACCCTGGAGGCTCCGGTCGCCCGAGACGCCCCAAAACCGTGCGGAGACCCCGAATCCCCACCGACTCACCACGCGGTGTGGTCACCGCACCGTTTGGGGGCCCTCCCTCCCTGCTCCCTCCCACTCCTCCCGGCAGAGGCGGACGGTTAGGGCCGCGGCGTTGCTCTTGATCGCCGGGCAGGGCGGGAGAACGTTCCAGACTGGCAACAAGACTGGCGTGTGAGACGCATGCCCCGCACTCGTGGCCCCGAGGGCCCCGGGCGGCGCTGCGGAGCATGCCGCCTCCTCCTGCCGAATCGATCCGATCCCCTCCTCCTCCCTACTGACAGGGGATACGTCGACCCCTATCCCAGGCTTCGTGGGGTTTCGAATGGACAAGCAGTTTGGGGCTCAACCCTAGGATATGCGATGGGGGGGCGTTCCTTCTCGATAGGAGTGCGTCCGGGTGCATCCCCGAGTCCCCCTCCTTTTCTGAGCGCTTGATCATTCATGGCCAAGTCGGGGAATTGGGGGCGAAAGAACACCTGCGACCCACCTCTCCCTTCACCGCACTATTCCATCCTCTTTGGACGCCAGAATAGGGCACGGAAAATATGGGTACACTGGCCAACAATAAATGTTGTACAACACCGACAGCGGCCGCCGTGGGGCAGGCAGTTTCGTCAAGGAATAACGTCCGCGGCGGCGCGGACAGCGAGTCATGTTCAAACTGAACAAGAACTTCAGGCGGCGTCTTGCCTTCAGAGAACAATGTCCATGGCGGCGCGGACAGCGAGTCGAGTCCTGTTCAACATGCACAGGAACTGCTGTTAGGCCTCGTACCCATTCTTTCCGTACCCGATCGTCCCCTCCCCTTCCCATCCCCCGTACCCGATCGTACCCTTTCGAATTGCTTTTAGGCCTCGTACCTTGAGGTTGGGCGTGTCCCCCGACATGCGGATTTTGGACGAAAAATGAAACATACACAAAAATACACAGAAATAACAAAAGATGCTCAAACAAATTCCCCAGGCTACTTTTTCACTATTGTTGAATATTCCTCCTGTAGAGGGACAGGCCCGACTTAATGTTAGGCCTCGTACCTCGACCGTCCCGATCCTCCCCTCCCCCTCCTCGCTGCCCTCCCCGCGCGGACAGCGAGGCCCCGCCGCCGCCCTCGGGGATGTGGTCGGAGGACCCCCCCTGAGCAGGGGCCGACCGACCCGGCAATCCTATACTGTGGAGGCCCGACCACAAGAAACCTTCCAAAAGAAACCCAACCCTGGAACCCCAGGACGCCCATTGATTTTTCAGTGGGACCGTCACGCGTTCCACAGCAAAGCCATTGAACCCGAAGAAACCCAGGGCACCCTGGAGGCAAGCCTCCACTGTAGGCTACAAGCCTGCCACGAAATGTTCTTAGAAGACACGCATGCTCTGATAACGAAAACAGGCAGTGCCCGCAGATCGGAGGGCCGGCGTGGTGGAACAACACGGTCTCAACCAAAGTTGTCCTAAAAACATGTCGTGCAAACCACAATCAATGAGGAAGAAACAAGCATGACCACACACACACACACACACACACACACGCACGCACGCCCCCCCACAAGCACGCACGCACGCACGCACGCACCCCAACCCTAACCCCCACACCAAACCCACCCCCACGTCCCCATACCCACACGCCCACACGCCCACACATCCACACGCCCACACACCCACACGCCCACAATCGCACGCACGCACGCACGCACGCACGCACTCGCACCCCCACACACACACATACACACACGCACACACACACACACACGAACGCACACACACACAAGCAAGCACGCACGCACGCACGCACGCACGCACCCACGCACCCACGCCACCCCCCACTATACACACAAACACACACACACAAACGCACACGCACACGCACGCGCACACGCACACACACAAAGACACACACACACACGCACACACACACACACACGCACACACAACACACACACACACCACACACACACACGCACACACGCACACACGCACGCACGCACGCATACACACGCACACACACACGCACGCACACACACAAACACACAAGCACACACACGCTCACACACTTACACACACACACACGCACCACACACACACACCACACAACACACACACCACACACACCACACACACCACACACACACACCACACACACCCACACACACACACACACACCACAACACACACCCACACACACACACACACCACACACACACCACACACACACACACACACACCACGCACACCACACACACCACACACACACCACACACCACACACCACACACCCCACACAACACATACGCACACCACACACACACACACACCACACGCACCACACACACCACACACAAACACACACATTCACACCAGTCACACCACACACACCACACACACACACACCACAAACACTACACACACCACACACAAACCACACACGAACACACACCACACACACCACACCACACACCACACACCATACACGCACGCACGCACGCACGCACGCGCACACACACAGACACCCACACACAACACACGCAACACACAAACACAAGCACAAGCACAAGCATAAACACACACAAACACACAAACTCAACGCACAACACAGAACACCTAACACAGAACACATGACACAGAACACACAGCACGACACTGACACACAGCACACACCACACACACACGCACACACACTCACATCCACACACACACGTTTGACTTACATGTTTC